TAACTGTTTTATAATAATAGCAACGTTTTACATCTTAATTGCTAATTCCGTCAATTTTTCTGGATCATTATAGTCCGCATTTCCAGTTCCAAACAAGTCCTCCAAAGTTTCACGGGCTATCACATGCGACTGTCCAAAGACCTGCTTTAAAATAGCCTTAGCTCTTTTATATCCCACTTGTGGTTCCATTATAAGGCAGCCTTCAATCGCGTTTCTTGCTTTTCCTTTACAGTAGTGAATTAAATATAATAAACGCAAATTATCATCCTTTACTCTAGGTTCTATAAACGACTCAAACTGCTTAACGAACCTAAAGTAGTCTCGGTGTTTGCCGTCAAAGAATAGAAGTTCAACCTTAGGTAATTCCAAGCCTACTATCGGTGTCCTAAGCATCTGATCCTTCTCTGGTACCTTAGAATTCTCGACCACATTTTGTTCCTTAGTGCCTTCTAAGGGTGACTTACAATAATAAGAATCAAACATAACATCATTGCTGGTGGAAAGGGAACCCATTAAACAAGAACAATCATAAACGACTTGCCTAGCATTTCGGGATTCCTCATGCTCTTCCACCCTCTTCGTGTTTGTTTTCTTTCGGCTGCTCATGGTTAATTGAAGATCAACGGAAGATAATTAACAAATACAAAATATAGAAATTCCACCGGTAAATCCTCGATATTAAATATCCGAAATCAGAAAATCGTTTTCAAAAATATATAGTTCGATCAAAAAAAAAGATAAGTAATCCAAAGTTCTTCTTCCAAGAAGTTTAATATTGTAAACGATTAAAATTCCAAATGTTTCCTTATTCTTCTTAATAATCAGACTGTAGTAGGCTTGTTCTTATTAATTGTCAGACTGTAGTTATTCTTCTAATCAAAAGTCAGACTGTAGCTGATTCATTCTTAATAATTGTCAGACTGTAGATGAATTTTCTACCGTAGCAGTTCAATTCGATTCTAATAGACGTATGTCGAACGCACCTTCCCTTAGTCGAATATTAAAACATAATAATTCTAGGAGAAGGTGGTCTATTTATATAAAAGAAATGGAAATACAAACATTTACCTGACAATTATTACGCCTTCCAAGTCGAAATTACTCTGATGGGTATCCGAGTTCAAAAGATTAGGTGAAGCTAGTATACTGCGACGATATCAAATCCAAATATGGCTGTAGCCAAATTTAAACATGTGTACAGTTCAGAAGCAAACATAAAACTTCAATATAAGTACAAAATATAGAAATAATAACAATATACAATGATAAATTCTCAAAATGGAATCAAATAAAATTCCAAAATGTCAACAGAAAGAGTCAGTCATATCATAACAAAAATATATATACATGGAGGGATTTTCCAAAAAACAAAACATTCAAAAAAGGTTCTACATCGAGTAAGCAATGTTGTTGTTAGGATACGTGTACTGGGTAAGGATGGCAGATCAATAGATGAAGTATTGAAACTTCATTAGTTGAGGTGTTTGGACATGTGTTGCGTATGCCTAACCACCAACTGCCTCGACGAGCTTTGTTTTGTAGTGTAGGAATATGTTGGAAGAAAGCTAGGAGCGGCCAAACCAAAACATGGCATAAATCCATGAAGTCAATGACAAAAGGATTGAGTCATGTTCCTAACTGTAGACTACCTGGTTGGGGTCCGCGATATGATAATAATCGATGGTTAGAGACCTTGAATGACATGGCTCATAACCGTTTGCAATGGCGGAGGTGCATTTATTCTTTTTGTTCTCTAAAATCCTAATCTTCTGGATTCTTCAACACCTCTAGTTTTGACTTTCTCAACTTTTCTCACTGAATCATACTTCTTGAATAATATCTTCTAATCCTAACCTCTCCGATTACTTTTAATACCCTTACAAACTCTTCTTCTATTGGATTTGAATTGACAATTACATCTCTGTGCTGATGTGGTATGGCAACATGAACTGATGTACTCACGTACGAAGTTCTACGTTGCATCTGACTGACTGACTGAATCTCTCTGATTAACGCTAATACTTTTACTGTTTCTGCCACTAAGGTATTTGAATTGACAGTTGCATTTCCTTGCTAATGTATTATGACAATTTGAACTGATGTACGTATCTACTGTGTTCTTTGTTGTCACTTCTTCGTAGGTGCCGTTCCGTTCCTTCCTATTTTTCACAGATATAACTTTACTTACAGTTCATTTTGTGTTTTTCGTTGCTACCTGGTCGTTGATAATATCATCTACCTAACATGATTGCTGTCATTTGTATCTGAACCTGTATGAGAAGTTCACTATCTTGTAAACAGCTTTTAGAGAAAGTGCATCAGGTGTTTGCAACTACATCGTTTGCCCCCCCCTCCCCCCAATTATATTGTGTATCTGAAGTAAGTATTGAGGTTTGCTTTGTTCGGGGTTCGTAATGTGAATACGTTTCTGAATATGATTGTAAAGGACAAGTTAAACGCTTTTGGTGTGTGCGAAAATAATTCTCACACCTGCCGAGGAATGAAAGTTTCATTCATCCCGTCGCATAGCCAGAAGTTCCCTGATGAAGATGTATTTTGGTTCATTTTCCTGTCACCATCTCGAGAATAATTCGTAAGATTTCTAGGTCTTACTAACCCAATGATGTATCGATCCTCCGATCCCTGAGTTAGATGGTTCAGGTTCGAAAATAATGTGCTGTGATGTGAAAGTGTGCTGACGTAGGTAACTCAGCGATGTTTCCTTTCATTTTGTTGTTTCTTCAAAGTGTCATTCAACTTAACAATTTTGCATTTTCATGTAGTTGGTCGGTCAATTGTCTTATGAAAGACGAGAGATCCGGTACAAATAGTAGCTGAGAGTCTACTAGTCCACTGAAGGTGTTTAGTTGCTTGGCTGAGGTTGGCCACGTGTAATCCAGAATGGACCCTATTTTATTTTCTAAAGGGCGAATACCTTTAGCATCAATATTAATCCCAAGAAAGTCGAGCAAATCGATTTTAATTTGATATTTCTGTGTATTTACATTGATGTCATGCATTCGAAGTTAATGGAATACTGATATGCTCGTCACTTGATATGCTTGAAACGACTACGAGTCCTCCTTACTCGGTAAACCAGAACTAAGAAATGATACACTGATACGATAGCTTTTATGATTCGATTTTCTTAGGCCCTGCTAACTACAGCAAGAACTCTTGATAAGGCGTAGATAATGTATTCTACAAGCATACAGAAAATACCAGGTTGACAAGCACACAATTCGAGCTTGTTTATGCATGATAGAAGTCTCTGGGCGAGCCGCAAAAATAGCATACTAAAATAATCCATAAACCAAAGACAGTCAAACATTTTCCCGGTGGTAAATCTAATCTGAAGGTCAGCTGAGCAGCTTACGCCTGAAGACACCGAAAATCGAAAATTAGGACCTCTCCCATGGGAGTTCTGGGGATGTAACGGCCGTAATATACACAAGACCCAGACCCTAGAGATGCGATTCTCTGTTAGAATTTACAATTGGACAGTTGTCAGCAGAACCATTACCAATTTGGGACCCCTGATAACGTCACCAGTGAAACTGTTAAATGTTTTAGCAGCATTTATCAACCCAATAGGCATCCACAAAAATATTCGAGTCCAAAAATAGTGGTGATGACTATTTAAAGAATGTGTCTCACAACCATAGAGATTTATTTATAGGCCTCTACTAAGTTTGTTTTTTGGAAAGACAGTTAGTTATACTGCTGAAAATGGCTGTTATATCGTCAGTATGAGGCAACGGGTAACGATCCTATGGAGTCCTCGAATTCAGCCGCCCATAATCACCGGTTTGATATCATTCATCGCTGTCGTTTTTGCGGACCATACGCTACGCGGATGCCTATTGGCCGTTAAGAAGTCGAATAATCCCAATAAATCATACCACTGAACGCGTTTATATACATATACATATACATGCACATTATACCAGATCTTTTATAGGAAGAACGAAGACGGAACGGACAGGATGAAACTAGAGCATTTGCTGGTGATTTCGTGGTACTGAAGAAATACCGCAATGAGTCAGAGATAAAACGACCGTAGTGAGCAGAAAAAACAAAAAGGAAACCAGAAAAGATGGATGGAAGCATGACCGTAGCGTAATGTCAGTAGGTATCCAAGAGAAAAGTGTCAGTACTAATAAACACATTCGATAATACGTTTAGAAAATCGTGTTTTTCTTCTTAAAAGTGAAGCCACTACAGTCTGTCTAGTACACTGAACGCTATAACCCAGGTTAACAAATCTACTATCCTTTTTCTTAAGATAGCGTGTTGAAGCAATAAAATAAGAGTTTTCAACCATAACGAGCGTTACAAGCACTAGAATCAGAGTATGAAACTACTAGAAAACAATCTTATCCAATGCTTCATGTTATCCGTTAAATTCGTCGTTACTCCGAAGATATGAGTGGTAAGCGAAGTCGTTTTTCTATACATTGGTGAGGAATTTTGAAACTGAAAGTGTATCAGTTCAACTATAATGTGCGTCAAAAGTCTTCCAAAGTGTGGTAAAAGACTCTCGAAATTAAAACTTACACATAGGCACGACATTTCATTAAATATCTCCCGAAAAATTATCTTTGCCAACATTGTTAGTTTAGTACTTGCCATGCAAGTATTAAAGTAGACCCTTTTGTTATTAAACTAACATTTGTATGTGTAAACTTCATACAGTGTTTTTTGAGAGACTCCAACAACTACCACGACATTTCATAAAATCCGCAGAAACACCTGGGATGGCAACTTCATTCTTTGGTAAGTTTGTGGTGATCCAGGAGGCACTTTGTGTGCTAAGGGAGTTTGAGGACCAGCATGCAAGTTAATCTGGAAGAGGGAAGGAAAAGAGAAAAGGTGAGCCGATGACCCTGTGAGCACATAGAATGCACTATCGTTTAACAGAAAAAGCAATAGACAGCACCCAAAAATAAAGCAAGCATGATATCAAGACATCGTGATAATCGAAAGTAGAAATTGGTTGTGAGCTTTCAAATGCATTACAGTGGCAACATTCAAAGCATGTGCACTTTCGGTCAGGGCGAATCCAGGAACACTGAGGAGGTCAGCTTCAATGTCCAAGACTTACAGAACTGTTGCTTTTAGAGATTTGTTGTCACTACAGAAGGTTATTAGTAAAAGACTGAAATAGGCTTTCGGCCTCTTATCCTAAAATTAGAAGTCAGAAGACTGGCTATGACCTAAGGCGCAAAGCATATTTTGAACGTTACTTATAGATGGTGTTTGTAAGTAGTTTCCATCAAATTATTCTTTTTCCCAGTTTCATCGTATCGATAATTCATCCCCGTTCACCACCTCGTATAGATGCTATCCAGTTTCTTTTTTAGCTGATAATTCGCGTTTGAGCGTGGAAAAAGGTGGGAAAAGTAAGACTTCACACACATTGTATAAACATATTTAGTTATCATGCCTCCATCTGCTTTAGATGTTCTAAGTAGGCCTCACTTTTCGAATGTATGATACTTTCAGCGCGCCTAAATGTCCAGTACCCAATGCTGTTCAAGTTAACTAACCAAAAGGCAAATCGAACCACTCATTGTGGTGTACTGGAATTTGTTGCAGATGAAGGAAGGATTTATGTGCCCTACTGGGTAGGCGTTAAGTATATTTTCTCTATTTCAGATGCTTAAAAATTTGCACTTGGAAGAGGGTGGTCTAGTTTCTGTGGTGAACGCAGCCTTGCCCATAGCCTCTTTCGCTCGCTTCCAGCCTCAAAGTACTGATTTTCTGGATATATCAAACCCCAAAGCTGTGTAATTTGATTCTTAACTCACACCTAAATTCAGGCTGGAAAATTCCCTCCGCGACTTTGCTTGTCTTACTGTTGGAGATATCATTGCTATCAGCTATAATGAACGTACGTACGAGCTTAAGGTATTGGAAACCCAGCCGAAAAATGCAGTCAGCATAATCGAGTGTGATATGAGTGTAATTTTCTTATTCTTACGTTTGTTCTTCTAGGTTGACTTCGCACCTCCGGTTGGATATCAGTCTATTGATTCTGATTCTTCAAACAAACAAAGTGATAAAGATCTGCATAAGGTATATCTTTTAATTGTTTATAGTTTTTCTATATATTTTTATTCAAAATTCGATCTTATGGTAGCCACTCGTTTGCTGCTTCTGATTGTTAACTTACATGATACGAATCTAGTGGCGTTCGACTAGTTAAAGTTCAATATGACACCAGACTCTGGTTAGAAGGAAGAACCTTTATGTTAATGTATCTTCGGAGCTAGTTTCGTCGTGATACTTTTATTCCTCTCCTAGTCAATGTCGTCAGCGCCGACTAGGAAGAAGTAAGCTTCTAGATTTTCTCTACAAATGGCTAACATATTATATTGTTAACATTGCAACAGGTTGGCTGTTGGGTTTGAAGCCTTTTGTGTTTTAAAAGACCATTGTCGTTGTTGAAAAGTGAAGATATTGTTGTTTTGTGAAGTCAGAGGATACTGTCTATCAGTGATTTCTAGTTCCGATGCTCCTTATCTTACCCAAAATATCTAGGGCATCATCGATGGGATTCCAGGCCAAAGTCCCTAAATGTATTAATGTTTAAATTTTTATGGATAGGTTGTGTTGGGGAGTCCTCGAAAGTGAGAACTTCAAGCATTAAAAAGTTTTCAGTTTGTGTTATGTGGCTTTCATAAAACCATTTAAGAACAGGTTCACCGAACTTCACTTCTTATCAGTCTTGTTACGATATCTGCCTCCTTTGATGAGCTCATATCAAATTCAGAAGATTTGTCTGTTCAACATTTTAATTGAATCCTCGTTCATAACTACTGATATGGTATTTCGTTTGTCGTCCAGAATTATGGTTTCGTTCTCCTTATTTCTGAGATTTGTTACGTCCTTCTGCTCCTTTTTAGTTAGAATCTTAAACCCCTTCACACTTATGTACACCCATGTGGTAAAAAGTAGTAAGAGTATCTTCTGATTAGGCCATTGCTTTTGCCTTTAAAGATAAAATTTTTCCTATGCTAAGGATTAAAACACCATTTCACTTCTGTCCATATTGATTCCCTAATAATTGCATGTAATTAAAATGCACTGATATCATCCATATTTTGTGATTCTTAACAAATTGCATTCCTTTGGCCACCTTAGGCAACAATGCAAGCATGTTCGTGGCGCAATTCTCCGCCTCTAAATGCGAAGTGTTGCTTCAGGATTGGATTGCATCGGCAACTGAACTAGTGATAGGAAGTGAAGTAGTAGTGACCGCTCCACTCCAAGTCTCAGCACGGATGCAGAAGGCTCGACTGGCTTTTGCCAACCTACGTCACTTATGGCATAGGCGAGATATCCGTCTGCTAACCAAAGGACGGGTTTACTGTTCAGCAGTTCTCTCCGTCCTACTGCTATGGGCGCGAAACATGGCTAGTAAGAATAGAGGATATTGGTGGGTTACTGGTGTTCGATTATGAGAGTCTTCGAATCATTGCTTGTATATCCTGGCACAATCGAGTAAGCAATGTTGTTGTTAGGATACGGGTACTGGGTAAGGATGGCAGATCAATAGATGAAGTATTGAAACTTCATTAGTTGAGGTGGTTGGGACACGTGTTAAGTATGCCTAACCACCGACTGCCTTGACGAGCGATGTTTTGTGTTCTCTTAAATTCTGATCTTCCGAATTCCTTATCACGAGCGATGTTTTGTGGTGCATGGCACAAATTCATCAAGTCACTGACAAGTGGACTGAGTCATGTTAGTAAGTGTAGACTACCTGTTTGGTGTCGGCGAGACGAAAGTAACAGATGGTTGGGGACCTTGAACTACATGTCTCAGAATTCTTTACAAAGGCGCAGGTTCATCCACTCTTTATGTTCTCTCAAATTCTAATCTTACGAATTCCTTATCACCTCTATCTTTCTCTTTCTAAAGTAATCTAACTGAATTACACTTCTTGAATAATATCTTCGAATCCTAATCTCTCTGATTACTGCTAATAATTTTACTGTTTCTGCTACTATGGTATTTGAATTGACAGTTGCATTTCCTTGTTAATGTATTATGACAACTTGAACTCATACACATACGTACGATCTTGTACTCTGACTGACCGATTGACCTTTTTTCCATTTTTTTGACAGTTTATAGTTGCTAAAAGTACGGTTAATTCATATCTTATCTCATTATAATATTTTCTTACACCAATCGATTTTTTCAGATTGAAGAAGATCATATAGAAATCCCTTCGTTTGCTCAAGGCTTTCAGGTAACCTAATATTGATGTAACTGCCCTCTTATATGACTATTGTCACAATTATCTAAATGGTTGCTTGTATAGTTAAGGAACGCCAAATGATGTTCATGAGTCTTGATGTTTCTATTTTGTAAAGGGATTAAATGTTTGTGTCTCACTTTTTTGAAGTGATACAGACTATTTAGTTGAATAACACCAAATATCTCTCACTTTAGTAAAGCAGTTTAAGTTACATTTCAAGAAAATTTTAAAAATTCGCCACATTGCGATGGATACTAAGTCATCTGTTTGAACCCATCAACATATATATTGAGGATCACACTTAGGAGTATTCTCCACTTGTTCAAGTTATTGACTTCACAACCTGTTATCAGCTCTTCACCTGACTAAATGGAAAATTTTTTCAACCTAATAATTTAGTTATCATCGCATTTCGTAGAAATATATAGTTGGATCTCTCTCCTAGATCGGTACAGATTCCCTACCTTACCCACTCACCAGTCGTACTTCATGCAAAGAATATCACGTTTTCATAGATTGCCGAATACATTTGTTGTAATATCGATTGTTGTTAGTTGCACATTAGTTTAAAAAAATGTAACTAACTCCCCCCCCCGTAATCTGAGTTTTTAATAGATATCATAATGTCTTTACATGTTACCGATTGCGAACCGACATTTTCGCTTCTGCGACAATACTTCATCAATCACTTATTATCGTAATGAAAAACTGGACTCTTTGCACATAGTAAGAAATCATGTTGATAAATAACGATTAAATATTCATGTTTGTTTTCTCCTCTTAATCATACTTTGCTTCGTCTCATGGATTTCACAAATTGAACTTTCATTAGGATTTACTATTTATTTATCATCTAGCTTAAAAATAGTTCATCGATTTCTGTATCTTCACTGTTTTTTTACGTAGATTCCTTAACAGTTTTGTCAGCTTAAACGATTAGTAACAAAGACTAGTCACTACTACTCACAGATGTCATCCATTTGCTATCCATTTACCAGAAAATCGCTGGTATTCAGGTTCCATAATCTTCATGAGTTTTATTTGTAGCTAAATATTTAAACTAATTTGTAGGAACATTCGCATTTAGTTTACCAGTTTTATTTGTTTAAACAAATCATAAATTTTAATTTATTTTAGGCATTTAGCGGTACGGGTTATCGGTTAGATGGGAAAAATAAACAAGATAAAACTAATAAAACGGGTGATGACAAACCATTAGGACAGTCGAAACAAAGAGAAAGGTGAGAATAAATAATGTTCTTAATTTGATTAATGTCACAACACCCAAATATTTTTCAACTTTACCGATTACAAGTGCACTTCCAATGAATTAAATCATCAATAACAGGTTAGTACTTCACATATGATATTCATAAAAATGTAAGATCTTTGATTCCAGCTATATCGAAAGCTGAAATCGTCAACTAAATTTTACTACTAATAATTAATAAATTTCCACCCTACATATCTATACATAAGATATTAGCCCCTTAATCGAAGCGACTACCAATGTTTCCCTATTTTTGAAATCCCAAACAAAGATAAAACGTCCATTTAAGGTTCTTTGATTTTCATTGGTTGTTTTAGCTTCAACAACAGCAAAACGCTTTTGTTTGGGATAGTGATTTTCTATTCTCCGAATTTTGTCTAATTTAAAAAACTAAAAGTAGATCGTTCCTTGAGAAACTTATTAGTCTCATAAAAAATACACAGGTGTTGTGCATTTTTATGTTTGCAATGCCCTTGAAAATACGATACGTAACACGCTAAAGAAAGGACAAACTAGTAAAGTTTTGTTTCATCTAATCCATGTCATCTAAAAAGAAGTACACTTAGGAGTGAAAGGTGAACCCAACTCAGCTATTTCATACCGGTTCTTGTGCCTGACTGAGTTGTATCTATTACAAAAGGTAGATATATTATCCTGCTTCTAAAGCAAATTAGTTGAAACGCGACTTGAGCTTGCCCCTCACTTGTTAGACATCTTATTCCTCTATCAAAAACTACTACTTTTACTTGGTGTTAATATTATCTTTCAGCTCAAAGACTAACACGGTAGTGAGCATATAGAAATCCAGATTGTAAGGTAATAATACAGAGCTAAATGCTTCCACACAGTCTCACCACCTGTTTCCCAACAATAAACTTCCAGGTTGTCATGGTTGCGGAAAGTACCAACCTCTTAAAATTTCCTCTATGCTTCAAGTTCATACTAAACCCAGGCAAGATTTAAGACCGTTTAAAGAAACAGTCAGTACAAAATCAAAATTTGTGATGTTCAATAGTTCTAGCGTGAGTTAGTGATTTCTTTATGAGTTCACTTTTTTAAGGTCGGCTTTTATGATTATTTCATGATGTCATCCTTTGTTAGCATAGTATAGTCTAATGAATTTTATTTTCTAATATCTACCTTATGTTTTTATCACGCATTTGTTAAAATGATTTCATTTCATTAAGTTTAGCTAAACATAGTGAATGATTAAAAATTTCAAAATACTATATTTATACTCCTAATTTTATTCACAGAGGTGTACCAAACTACAATTACCAACCCGGAAGTTTAACATTTTTCCGCAATTCAAAGCAAAGTTCTTCAGAGGTAGGTACATTCTATCAACTATTTGAGTTTACAATTTTTATGAAAAGCTTTGAGATAATACTCCGTTTAGAATCTAACCATACCATGAGCACATTTGATATCATTTATCGGCTTTATAATACGGTTAATTTAATGTAAAGTTGGAAATAAACACACATGTATGAAATGGTGTATTTACGTGAAACGTCTTTGGGAAATTTTATTAAAAGCCATTAAAAAAATTTTAACGTTGAAACTCAATTATTTCAAATTCTCTTCATTGGGGAGGATTTACAACGTTGTTCATTGAGGCAATATCATTTCAACCATCAGTTGTTATTGATATTCTAGCAGTATGTGTCAATATCAAATACTGAAGTTTTTATTAGAAAAACTGTAACACGAACTTTGTTGGCAAACTGCATAGTTTTCAAGTACTCAATAAAATAGTAAATTGTCGTCATCTTTCAACCGCCAATGTTTACTCGATTTCTCATACAATGACTGAGTGGTATCATACTTAACTTATGTTTAATCACATGGAGCGGCAAGTCAGTGGTTTAAGCTCGTATCTTCAAATCACTGGACAGTTGGCAAGTTGGAACCCTTCTCCACCTATTTCCTTCTAACCACCCGGATATTATGTCTCCACATTGATCTTCATTCAAAAGATATGTTTCAGAAACCGAGTAAATGAATTTATACTTCGCTATTGAACTACACTCATAATTTCCATGGGTTATTCACCAATTTTAATTTCCATTTATTTGTATTTATTTGAACTAAGTCCAAAATAGGGTAGAAAATTTGTTACCGAAATCCTTATCGCTATTCCATCATTTGATTAACTTTTCTTTAACGTTTTCAGTTATAAAACCTTTTTGTAAATTAATACTCAATTTTTGATTAACTTCATTTTTTTTTACAGAAAACAGAAGAACCTACTTTCGAACCTTTTAGTGGTACAGGTCATCAATTGAAATTACACAAGAAATAAAGAATAGCGTAATATCCTCCATACTAACTTGTTTTTCTGTTACACAGTCAAAAAAATGACATTTTGTCAATTTTTTTAAGTTTTATTCTGTCAAAAACTCCTATGACTTCATTGTCACTTTTTTTGTTGTTGATATCACCTGAATCACAAATTTGATATGTTGATAATTTTTCTCTAATATTCTCGCATCCCATGTATTATGGAATATCATCTTTTATAAAAGAATTTGCTTTTTTCAAAAAGTCCAATAAAAATTTATGATATCCAAATAATTAAAATAAAATTGATTCAAGGCGGTTGAAGACGATCATCAGTAAACTGTTGATCTAGGTTTCGTTTGAGTTCTCGCTCTCCAGCAAGGCATATTTGCTATATTAGTGGTCACTTGATTGATGGTCAATTAAAGTTAAAAATGTCAATCATCAAAACAAGCGGTGTTTATTTCAGCAACCATGAATGACTAAGATGTAATATAATGTAATTTCGTGATCTTATATTTAGTACAAGGCATACTTAAGGTGTCCCGTTTAAATTTACGGAAAATTCACAAGTAGTTCTTGATTTCAGAAGTTCTAATATATGTGGTTCATTATTTTGAAGATAAAAAGCCAGCACCAGAAAGACGATTTTCTGAAACTTACACAAACACTAGTATTTAGTTATTCAGTATTATAAAGCTAATAAATGAAAATATATAAAATATTCTCACGGAATACTCATTAACCATTATTAGTGGATAAGAATGAGATTTTGTTATCAGTGGTTATGACGTATCGTGAACGTACTGATCGACGTCTAAAGTATTCAGTGACCTACAGTTATGATTGTATTACTAACAGATCATACTGTGTTGAAGATACTAGATTCCCAAATACGATATTAGGATGACACCAAATTTTACAATCCACATACCAATTAAAGTGGATTCTTGTTTGCATAAATTAATTCAGTACGAAGTTAATTATTAAATTTTTGATTGGTTTCTCACTGTACTCATAATTTTAGTTCTCAACTGACAATTATTCAGTTGAAATCATTGAACTACCTGGAAAGTAATTAATTTAACTTGAATACAATGTAATTCTTCTGGAGGTTTTAACTAATATGTCTTCCTTAAAAGAACTATCGCGCAGAGAATCATTGTCAAAGTGTTGTGTATTAGTCATCTGGTCTATTCAATTCACATAGAATATCTCAAACACTTGTCATTCAAAATCACCATACCCTGCTTACTCAAGCAAATCTATGATGTACTGTATGTAAATCCTATTCATATTTATCTAATCTTATAATTGTGTCACAGAATTGTATTCCATTTTATTTTTCTTGGAAAAAAGAAAGAAGCATACAATTTTAATTGGCTGTTATTCATTTTCTCATGATGTTCTCAGTGAATTTATCCAGACAATATATAATGAAGAGTCTTGTGAACAGGAAAACAAAACTACTCATAATGATAGTGTTTAAAAACTTGGTATCGACTAGTAAATAAAGTAGCTTTAATGTTAAGTGATTTGTTTGTTGTGAAAATATCAATACATCGACAATTGTTTTCTCCATTTCTCACCATACATAACTGACTTAGGTATTGTTTACTTCCCCAGATGTTTCTATGAACGATGAGATAATTTTTAATCATGTTAATGTAAATAATTTAATAAAAATATGACATTGTCTATTACTCCTTGTTTTTCTTATTAAAATGACTGCTTTAACAGTAGGCATTTTAATGTTATAGTAACAAACAGTATTCTAGTATGTAATATTTGCAATTCACATTCATTTCACATAACAGTCTATAAATGTGTGCTTATTGAATATAACATTTGCACCCTTTCAATTTAGAACCAGTTAGTATTGGAAAGCAACTTTGCATTAATTCGTAACATATAGGAGGAGCATGAAAAAGATTTGAAACTGAAAGACTAAAACATAATATCAATCCATCAAATTACTGATTATTATAGTCTGAGCCTCACCAAGAGCTTTAAAGTTTCGAATTAAAGTGTATCCGATAATCATGACCTATAGCTGAGAAAATACGATGATTCAAATTCAAAATTAACAATAATCCAGCAGATGTATTCATTCTGCTTTCTTCTAGAACTTAGGTTATAGCATTAGTTCACACTTCGTACTTTTCCATTTAGAATGTTCTTTTCAAACTATAATTTTATTTTTTGAAACCATGAATCGATCAATATTAGAACACCATTAGAAACCTGGAAGCACTTGACGGCCGTTTCGTCCTGGTATGGGACTCCTCAGCAGTGCGCATCCACGACTCCTGCACCCCACAGGATTCGAACCCAGGACCTTCGGTATTGTGCGCGAACGCCTAACCTCTGGACCACTGAGCCGGTATCTAACGGTGTTAATGTCTAACTTGATCAATTCACGGAGTTGCGCAACCTCATACACAGTCTTCGGTAGTTACTGTCTACACCCGAACAGGTTGAACTTCACTGGTCACGTCTTCCCACTGGAACTCGGGGAAGATTCCTCACGAAGCTAGTCACTAGTGAGCACAGGTAATTTCTAATGGTGGTCTAACACTGATCGATTCATGGTTTCAAAAATGTGTAACTTAACAATCTTCACAACCCCGTAATGTATAATTTTATCAACTTTATGTATTATCCAATTGATAATATCAGTTATATCGAATCAATATTCAATCCTAAATAACAATGTTGGGATCAATCAGACGTTTATCAATAATGTGAACATATTTGTTGAATACCTTTTTTAGGCTAAATGAACTCATTAGCTCAATGAACAACGTGTAGGTATCTCAAGTGAAACACACTGGAATGCAGGTATATTCAAATGACTAGTCGTCATTATAACAAAATGCGCATACTGGATGTTAATGTTAGCCACAATGTAAATACACTCATGTTAATTTATTGTTCTATTATTTCTATAAAGTGTGTTCATCTAAATCATTTGTACATTTGTATCAAGTCCTATGTTGTTTATCATTGATTTAATAAAATTCGATTCAGTATAATTTACAGTAATATTACTAGAAATCTTTGTCATTTCATTTTTTTTTGTAATCACTAACATTTATATTATTTGCAATTATTTGAGAAAAAAGAAAGAATAAATTTACAAATCAGAAAAAAAAATTTGTATGAAATCTAATATTTTATTATATTTCCTTTGATAAAATTTTATTTGCAAACAACTGATGAAAATTTAACAAATAAAATATTAATTTAGGTCAATTATTATTCTTGCCCTAATTCAATTATCAATCAATTATTATTACTGGTTGTATTCATCCTTTTTTTATTTCTTTTAAGAATATATTTATACACCAATGGTAGTTGTTTAAATCTAACAATATATATATATATATATATATATATATATATATATATTAAAGTTTCATATTTCTCTCACCGCCACCCTCACCCCGCCCCGCCTGCCTGACTGCGCTTTACAAAAAAAGAAAAATAACTAAACAGAATGTTCATTTTATTCTGTTAGTTTCCTTTAGTAATAAAAATTGACATAAAAATACTGATTGCATATTATTAAAAAAAAAAGAAAGTAGATTTTCTGTGCTATGTCTCATATTCATTTTTTTTTGAATCATTACTATTGTTAAGTCAGGTTTTTACATCTTTTATTCTTAGAATTTAAACAAAAAACAATCTTTGGAAATCATTGATACAATAAATACAAAATTATTCACTTATTAAAATATAAGTAGTATGTTTTGCAGTGTGGGAGTAGTTTGGAAGAAGGCTAGGGACGGCCAAACCAAAACATAGCACAAATCCATGAAGTCACTGACAAGTGGACTGAGTCATGTTGGTAAGTGTAGACTACCTGGTTGGGGTCCGCGAGACTATAGACACCGATGGTTAGAGACCTTGGACGACATGGCTCAAAATCGTTTGCAATGGCGCAGGTGCATTTACTCTTTATGTTCTCTCTAATCCTAACCTGGATTCCTCATAATCTCTAGCTTTCTCCTCCTAAATTTATCTAACTGAATTATACTTCTCGAATCATATCTTCGCTCTCTAATCTTCTCCATTACTGCTAATACTCCTATTATTGCTATCACTCTTGGATTTGAACTGACAGTTGCATCTCTGTGTTGATCGGGCATGGCAACCTGAACTGATGTACTTACGTACGAAGTTCTGCCTTGTATCTGTCTTTCTGTCAGTATGCTATACTGAAACATAATTCAAATTAGAACTTATTCATCTTCATGATTTATAATAATATTCTTCTCTTTTTTATAAAATGCTCTTCATTTATTTTATTTGAAGTCAATTAACACAAACTAAAGAGTTCTTGTTAATTGGTGAAATGCAAATTTCTGTTTTTGGATCTAGATTTCTGAAACATTCCTGTTGAAGGTTAATTAGCCATGAGTCATTGAACAAAGTGATATTTATTTTTATGATTAGAAATTGTGTTACTCATCAGATTATCGTTAGCATAAATTTCATTCATTCACTAACATGTCATCATGTTTGTTTGAAATCTCTTAATTTTAGTTTCTTTTTACATTTCAATAGAAACATTTATCTTATTAAATGTGATTGTAGAAAATTTAGAAAATAAGTAGTTAGTCATTAACTTAATAAACAGTATAATGTATTTTGTAAATGATATTATTATCCTAATTCCTTGAACTACTTATCTGAATTAATTAAAAAGGAATTTAACTATTAATAAATTATCTTTTAATTATTTCATTTACATCTAAATGACAGACAGAGGCAGATACATCACAGAACTTCGTACGTAAGTACATCAGTTCAGGTTGCCATACCACATCAGCACTGAGACGCAACTGTCAGTTCAAATCCAAGAGTGATAGTGATAGTAGAAGTATTAGCAGTAATGGAGAAGATTAGGGAGCGAAGATATGATTCAAGAAATATAATTCAGTGAGATTAATTTAGAAGGAGAAAGATAGAGATTATAAGGAATCCAGAAGGTTAGAATTAGAGAGAACACAAAGAGTGGATGCACCTGAGCCATCGCAAACGATTCTGAGCCATGTCGTTCAAGGTCTCTAACCATTGGTTAGTATCGTCTCGCGGACCCCAACCAGGTAGCCTACATCTACCAACATGACTCAGTCCACTTGTCATTGACTTCATGGATTTCTGCCATGTTTTGGTCTGGCCGCCCCTAGCTTTCTTCCAACCTACTCCTACACTGCAAAACATAGCTTGTCGCGGCAGTCGGTGGTTAGGCTGCCGCGACATGTAAATGAAAAAAAAGTATAA